AAACCTGGTGGAGAAGAGGGGGAGAGGAGTAAAGCTGGGGGTAAACCTGGTGGAGAAGAGGGGGAGAGGAGCAGAGTGAAGCTGGGGGTAAACCTAGTGGAGAAGAGGGGGAGAGGAGTGAAGCTGAGGGTGGATGGCTGCGCTGGGAGCTGAATTCAGAGGCAGAACTCCTGAGGTGACATCAGGGGTCAAAAAGTGAAGTAGGGGAAGAGGATTGGCAGCTTAGGAACCAGGTCTAGAGATTATCTCCCTTCTGGTGCTCCTCACTCATAGTGTAAAGTCCTTTTTTTGTGGTTTCTGGTGTGTTAGGAATAGGGAGAGAGAAAGAGAAATCTGATTCGGTGAGTATTGGGTAAGGTTCAGTAATTGGGTCCTATTTTATTATTTATAGCTGGTAAGGTTCACAATGGCAGGAGAACCCAGCCCCATGGAATGCTCATCCTGCAATGTGTGGGAAATCAGGAACACATCCATCTCCATGGTGACTATGTAATCAGGATTGGTGTTCAGCTGCAGCTCCTGATTTGCTACAGGGGGTGCCCCGTGCTGCAGATGGACTCACGATGAAACATCCATGAGGCTGAGGATGTCGAGGATAGCACATTTAGTGAGCTGGTCACACCTCAAGTAACGCTACACAGACAGAAAAGTGTTGGGTGACCATCAGCAAGACTGGTAAGTGTGGATAGGCAGTGCAGGCATCCCCTGTGGCCATTCCCCTCTCAAACAGATAAACTGTTTTGGGTACTGTTGGGTGTATGGCCTCTCAGGGGGAAGCAGCAACAGCCAAGTTTGTGGCACCATGGTTGGCCCTGCTGCACAGCAAGCTGGGGGATAAAGATTGGGAGAGTTTTAGTGATAGGGGCCTTGCCTGTAAAGGGAACTGATAGGCGGTTCTATGGTAGCAAACAAGGCTCTTGAATGGTATATTGTCTCCCTGGTGCCAGGGTCAGGGATGTCTCAGAGTGCCTGTGGGGTATTTTGAAGAAGGATGAACAGCCAGCATTCATAGTATATGTTGGTATTGTGAGCAGTTTTGGGCCCAGTATCTCAGGAAAGATGTACTGGCCCTGGAATGGGTTCAGAGGAGGTTCACGAGAATGATCCCAGGAATGAAAAGCTTAACATGTGAGGGACACATGAGGACTCTGAGTCTATACTCATTGGAGTTTAGAAGGATGAGGGGTGATCTAATTGAAACTTACAGAATACTGTATGGCCTGGACAGAGTGGATATTGGAGAGATGTTTCCATTGGTAGGAGAGACTAGGACCCGAGGGCACAGCCTTAGAGTAAAGGGAAGACCGTTTAGAATGGAGATAAGAAGAAAATTCTTCAGCCAGAGAGTGGTGAATCTATGGAATTCATTGCCACAGAAGGCTGTGGAGGCCAGGTCATTGAGTATATTTAAGAAGGAGATAGATAGGTTCTTGATTGTCAAGGGGATCAAGGGTTACGGGGAGAATGGGGTTGAGAAACTTATCAGCCATGACTGAATGGCAGAGCAGACTGGATGGGCTAAATGGCCTAATTTCTGCTCCTATGTCTTTGGGAAGTAGGAGAGATATGGTATTGTATTTTTGGTAAAGGAAATCATCACAGCAGTATCGAGGGAAAATGTCATTGAAGGGTCTTTAAATTAGGTCATCTGGTTAGGGCTCAGAAATAAAAAAAGGGGCAATTACCTTTCTGGGATTATAACACAGGTCTCTTAACAGTTACAGGAAGCTAGAGGAGCAGATATGTAAGCAAATCACAGAAAGGTGTGAGAGAAACAGGGTTATAGCTATAGGGGACTTCAATTTTCCTAACATTGACTGGGCTTGCCTCAGTGTGAAAGGAACAGATGGGATGGAATTCTTATGTGTATCCAGGAGAGCTTTTCGTGCCAGTATTAGAAATGGGACAGCGCCAGACCTGATCCTAGGGAACAAAGCTGGTCAAATGGTTGAAGTTTCAATGGGTGAGCATTTTGGGGATAGTGACCTTAGCTCTGTAAGTTTCAAAGTCATTGGAAAGGGATAAGGATGATGCAGAAATTGTGTATAATTTGAAGGAAGACCAATTTCAATATCATTAGACAGGATTTGGCAAACATAGACTGGGTGCAGGTAAGTCAGCATTTGGAAAGTAGGGTCTTTTAAAAGTAGGATAGTGAGAATTCAGGGCCATCATGTTCCTCTAAGAGTGAAGGGCAAGGGCAGTAGGTCCAGAGAACTGTGGATGTCAAAGGATATTGAGTGTTTTGCAAACAAAATGAAGGAAGCATATGAGATAACAAGGTGTAGAGCTGGATGAACACAGCAGGCCAAGCAGCATCAGAGGAGCAGGAAAGCTGACGTTTCGGGCCTAGACCCAAGGGCAGGAATGCACCACCTGGGAGGGTATTTGAGGTGGGAAGCCTCACAACCTTTAAGAAGTACTTGGATGAGCACTTGAAGCGTGATAACATTCAAGGCTAGAGGCCTAATGCTGTCAAGTGGGACTCGTGTAGATTTAGTGTGTTTTTAACAGTCTGGTTTTGATAGGCCAAAGAGCCTCTTCTATGCTGTGTGATTCTATGATTCTAAATGTATGTTGGAAACTGCAAGGAAGGGTGGAGATTAGGTGAACTGTATGGATTTTTAAAATGTATGCATGTAGTTGAATTCTGAAGATTAAAAATCAAGAGAAGGACCTTATTCTGGAATGTTTTCATATGTATGTGTGCCTTGTTTAAATTTGGATGCTGTCATCCATTCATTCTCTTTGTATTATTGTCTAAATGTTCCTGCGGTGACTGTGCCTTGGTCAGTCTAGATATACAGAGATTATTGGTTGGCTGATTTTCAATTTATAAATACGACTTACTAGAACTGACAGTGGACTGTAAAGCCAATAACACAGTTGCAAATATAAGAAGCCATAAGTGTTATTGCAGATGCAAGTGGGGAACTTGTTTTATTAACATTGCATTCTGATGTAATTTTTTTCTCCATATTCTCCCCAAACATAGGCCACAGTGGACAGAAGTAAACCAGAAGATGAGGCAAGGACATGGGAAGGTACTCAACATTTTTCAGCAATTTCGTTAGGCAAATTTAAGAAGTTTTTAATTTCTTTGCTTAAATGTTTTTGTGCCAGTCCATATTTTTGTACAAGTTTAAAAATAAATAGATAGGAGAGGGCTGAGTTTCATCTCTCACTTCCATATGTATTTCAGGTATTCATTCATTGAACACCACTTATTTACCAATGAGACTGAATATCAAATATTCTCAAGCTACACAACTGATCTGAATTTCTAAGGCTAAAAGTCATATTTCCAAATGTTTTTAACAATAATGGTGCTGTTTTGATGTCACTTTTGTAAATAGAACCTCCATGAACTGGCACCTAAAATATATTCTGCTCAATCCTGCCCTTTTGTCCCAGTTTTATATGGGTCTACTTCTCTGTTATCAAGTTTAAGAAAACGTGTTTGTAATTTTGGATGGCAGGAATGAACACACTGATGCTGATTTCCCAGAATCCAGACACTAAAACAGCAATAGTGTAAAAGTGGTTGTAAAGTATGGGCACTGAACATTGAGTTAAACAGTTATCCTCAAATTTAGCTGCTTAATGATTTTGTATTTACTAAGCCATAAATTTTTATACCCTTTTGTTCTTCTGAATGAGTCTTTAAACTGAGGCTTTGGCTATTCAGATGGATTAGAAAGATTTCACTGCACTAAGCAAAGGTGAGTGGTTTCTTTAATCATGCTGTACATAATGAGTCTATGAAAGTTTGCACTGAATAGAAAGCCTGTGGAGAATGGCTATTAAATACAGCTCTAAAGCTAGAAACTATTTCAGTGGTTTTCCAGTGAGACCCATAAATCCAAACCTCCTTTTAGAACCTTAGGCTGGAAGTCTCCATTGGGCTGCTTTTATCCCATCAGTACTACTTTGGTGGAAGTGTGGCAGAAATCATATTTATGTGCTTACCAGCAAAATAAGAACAGCTGTGACAAATATCTAGCCATAGAATCTGAAGTTCATAGGTGACTGCTTGGTCATCACATCTGTACTGGTACTCTGAAAGAATTAACCACTTGTTTTGAAGCAGTCTTAATAATAAGCTCACTTCAATGATCCTGTATTTCAGCTGGGAGCTGCAAAGCTTAGAGGAGGTGTTGTTGGTACAATTTAAACATGCACTTTCATCAAGTGCATCTTCCCACTAGCCGTGCTAGACATTTGTGTTTTTTTTTTTTAGCACCAATCTGTGTGGGTTTTTGTGTAACTTTTTTTGATAATTTATGAAGGTGTCACCCTATTGATGTATACGCAGGAAATGTATAATGTAATCCTAAATCCTGGGTTTTGTGCAGTCTTGGGAAAACCTGATCTGTGCATTTTTTTTACACCTTCTGACATGTACACTGGACACATGTGTGACTTTATGAGTTGACATGGAGGGTGTTAGGCATGTGGATACAGGTAAGATCACAGCATCCCAACTCCAACATTGTTTAAGGGCGACCTAAAACTCACTCCCTGACCCACCTCCATGCCATCCAGTGCCTGCTCTGATCCCTCATGCCATCCATGCTTCCTCTTCTCCATGATTCCTCCTCAGAACCCCAGTGTCACCCCGAGACTTCACCTGTATGTGACTCTATAACCCCTTATACTTCGCAATTCCATGGCTACCTTCAGATCTCTTTGATTCCTCAGATTGATTCTACCCATGCCACCTCCACATCCACAGAATATTCTCCTTAGCCATTCACCCAGCATCCACTATATATAGTCCTCAGGACCCATGTAATAACAATAGGAATAATTTCAAAATAATTGCAAAAAACTAAAACCTCTACCAATCTAATGAATTCAAGCTCACTATGTTTCAAGTAATCTATTTTGCGCAGTACCAATATATTAAAACATTCTCATTATGTTTATGGAGAAGTAAGAAACCACATTAAAAGGATGTAATGTTATTATTGCTTGTTAAAACTGTCAATCATTCTTTAACCAATAGATAACCTGCCGAGCTGAAAATATTAATCACTTTTGAAACAAAACCAAGCATTTATAATAGCTACAGCCATGATTAGAAAAGATTCCAGCTACATTGCCTGAAACTAATAGAATAGGTAGTGCCATGTAAAAGCAAAATTATGGAAGATACTGGAAATCTGAAATAAACACACAAAACTCAGCAGGTCTGGCGGCATCTTTCGCCCTTTTTCCCTCTCCACAGATTCTGCTGGATCTGCTGAAGTCATGTCCTATTCCAATTTCAAACTAAAAGGTATTGAGTTTTTTTCAACTTTCAAAATCAGAGCAGTCAGTCAATTTAAATCACAGGACTACGCATGACAGCAGAAGCTGACAGGACTTTGTTTATTCTTTGTACATTTGACACTTCTGACCATTGAGGAAAAAATACTATCATTCATGATAACAATTACATAGTGCTGATCAAAGGTCAACTTACATTGCGGGGACTATCCCTATTATGCATCATGGCATTCATCTCTGATACATCACACATTTATTTTACAATGCAGAACATAGTTGTGACATTTTGAAGGTGTGAAGATATTTTCATTTGACTGTCATAATGTTCCCATCTCCTTAGCAGGTTAATCACAATGACTCCAAGGAGGTACTTTTTGTTTTGTTTTTGGGTTTCTAGGCCCAACGTCACCACTGTATGAAAATGGTGTGGGTGGTAGGGGGAATGTTTTAATTTTCCTGTGCCTTCACAATGGAGACCCTGACATATTAAGTGATCTATGTATTTTTGCACACCAGAACTTCTCAACTTGTGAAAAGGCCAAATGAAAATGGTGCAGTCAGGAAGGCAGAAGAAAATTATTTTTCATCTGTGAGAACTTAAGTACAGTGTTTTGCATGCAATTTCCTGCCTCCATTTGAGGACAAAAATCTGTTCCTATATTAAAATTGTTGGTTCTACATATCAATATGACCATTAATCAACTTCTAATATGAAAATTCCCAGTTGCAATCTCAGCAGTGACACTGGGAATGTGCCCACAATCCTCCTCATTTTAGTTTCTGGAGGAGCTTGTGGTGTTAGCAAATGAATGGGGCTAATTTACTGAGCGTGCTACCAATATTTACCAACAAAGACTTTTACAGCCTTCTACGCAATAGGAAGACTGAATTATTTCCTCACAAAAATATATTATTTTTCTGTTTGTACAGACAGCTTCTGAGGCTGATACTTACCAATAGGGTAAAACCACTGGATTCACCTCAACTGTGTCAGTACAATGACCTCCTTTCATATACAGTCTTCTGAACTTACAGTGTGGGCTCCCTCCTCATCACCAACCCAGCCCACCCACACCTCCAAACCACCACTTCATATCCTCAATTCCATATCCACCACTATTCTCCTCCAATCAGGAAATCATCTATGCTTTACTACATAGGAACATAAAAATGTGGAAATACATGAGTTAAGAGCAGGATTGGCCCATTCAGCCATTCAATTCTAGTCCACCATTCAATTAGATCACGGTTGATTGATTGCTGTCTCAACTCTACCTGTCTTCTCCCCATTACCCTTAATCTCCATAACCCTTAATTCCTTTGTCTATGAATTTATCTAACCTGTATGGACAGATATTGGATCAGTTGGGATTATATGCACTGGAGCTTAGACGAGTGATTGAAATATCATAGAGACCTATAAAATTTAACTGAACTTGACAGATAAATGTGGAAAATATTTTCCTGATGACTGGGGAGTCCAGAACCAGGGGTCAAGAATAACAATAAAGGGAAGGCCATTTAGGACAGAGATGAGGAGAAATTTCTTCACCAGGGAGTGGTGAGCCTGTGGAAATTTCTGCCAAAGAAAGTGGTTGAGGACAAAACATTGAATGTTTTCAGGAAGGAGTTAGGTGTAGTTTTTAGGGCGAAAGGGATCAAAAGGTCTGGGGAGAAAAAGGTACAGGGCACTGAGTTGAATCATTACCCATGATCACTCTGAATTACGGAGCAGACTTGAAGACTGAACAGTCTATTCCTGCTCCTGTTTCCATATGTCTCTGCTTAGCAATTAGAATAAATCCAATGAACCAGCCTCCTGTTTTCTGAGGAAGAAAATTCCATACACTAACAACTTTCTGAGAGGTAAAAGAAATTCTCATCTCCATCTTAAAAGAAATAGCATTCTTAAACGGAGTCTCCAATTTCTAGTCTTTGCCACAAGAGGAAATATCAACCCAGCATTCACCTTGTATACTTAATCATCATTTATCTGAAAGGGAATAGATGGCTGACCCACCCTTACCAGGATAATATCAAATTCCCAGAAATTGATTGTGATTCAGGCTTAATAAATTCTATACTGTTTTTGGGAGCTTTCTTGCTGGACTTATAGTAGAAGGAGGCAAGAAACTGAAAGAACTTTAGCTCCTTCGTGAAAAGGATCTATCTATGATCTTCATATTGTAAGTGCAGTAACCAGCATCTCATCAACAGCTTAATAAAAATAACACAGTTATTGATTAAAAAATGAGCACCTCGCAACATAACAAAATTCTAATATGTACTACAATGCTGCTATAACAAATCAGATTTTAAATTCAGTAAAAAGTAGAAGAAGGTTTGGACAGTGAATAAATTTAATGAAATAATTTGCACATAATCTTTAAGACAATTACGTTATTAGAATAGAATATTATGTTTTGTTCATGAATCATTGATGATTCTGTCTGGCAAATGTATTGTCACATAAGTAACAATCTTCCTACTGCTCTATTCAAAATAGCACACGTAATGTTAATGTAAGAACTTCTCATTAAAAATACATCTATTTCATAACAAACATGATGGATGGTGCATTAAGGCTAATGTTGATGAATTATGCTTGAAATTTCTTTTTCAATCCTGCTAATTCTAACATCTGGCATCTCATTTTTGGTTTATATTGATGCATCTATTGTGACTCACACTGTAGAAAACTAAGGAAGAAACTGATTTAAAAAGTTTGGTTTTGATTATAATCAGGCTATATAGTGTTGTGTGTAGGAAAATA